TTTCACATAATCAACGTGCAATCAAACCCTTGATAATTTGAACCATGTGTGTTACTGTGTACTTGGTTCTGTTTATTCATAGATATATGCTGCCCCATGCGATGCACTGGAAATGGAAAACAGTGGCTCAATTTTGAACATGCCTTCTTTAAGTTAAAGATGTACATTTATTCATGAAAGTTATTCAGAACTTTAGAAGATGCACGTCTGTTTATTATATTAGTTAATCAGCTAGTAACTACATTATTGGTAAAGCTTTGTCTTAAAAACACTTATTACACACTAAAACAATGTGTATGAACTGCTTTTATGCAAGGTTATTTTAACTGGCTTTCAGAAACCCATGATAATGGTGTTTAATGTATAGGTCATTGAGGCATTTATAAATAAACCATTTTATCTTTTTTTTTTAATCTTTTTTATCTTTTTATCTCTTTCTTATAGGTATTTGAAAGTTTTATTTTACCCTGAGCAATTCACCATCTCTGATACAATATCACCTCTGTTGCAAATGTACACATTTTTAAAAAGTCCTTTTAATAATGCTCACTGCAGCAGCGTTCCTGGGTAATACTACTTCCGTTTAGACTAGCAAAGAATCCCAAAATAAGATGAGGAAGTTGAAGTTAGTCTGAGCACATTTTTCTGAGTATCGTTTTTTAAAATAGCCCAAATAAACAAACCTGTGAAACAAAAAGACAACCGTTTCCTGTTGAGTCAGGATCAGCCTGGACTTCATTTACAGAAGTTATAGTCATACTCATATAGTCAGTCACACTGTCATTTTCCCCCATGTTATTAAGTTCTGATGAGTCCGTGGGATAATCTCCCTGAAAATCAAAAGGATATAATCATTCTGCAATGATGCATAGGATGGGCACTTAAGGGTTAAAGCCGCAGCCCACATATGATAAGTCAGCAGATGAGTCAGATGCTACATTGGAGGTGTAGGTGAGGTGGGGGGTCTGAAAATGAAGGAACTGAACCAAACTGGGAGGTTTCCACATAGCAGCTGGTAACAGATCATAGGCAAGATAATCCTGTGCCCCCTAATCATAAACCCTAACAAATGGAATAGAGTACACTGTGTAATCAGGGCCTGAATTACGCAGTGGCTTTTGGGGATGCCCAATTTTCCGGTGTGCACCACTGGAAAATAAAATATAACCTATAACACAAAAGTGGACAATTTTTTAGACCCCCCCCCAAAAAAAACATCTCAAGAGAGGCTTTCAAGGGAGCTCTTGTCCTTTTCAGAGGTGCCAGGTTCTCCGTAGCTCCACCGTAACTCGAACCGTGCATGTAATCAGATATATACGTACATGAAATAGACTAAATCAACATAAATTCAAACCTAAAGCTTCCACTTAGTTTCTCCGGTATAGACTCTCTTGAAAAAACCTGGACGTTAACCAGACTTGCTATAAATGAATCTCTTAATTGAAAAGTCCATTGGTTACCACTTACCAATCATATTTATGAAGGTTGCATAGCTAATTTGTGGTGACCTTTAGGGTGATTTTTTTGGCAGCTTGGTGCCTTGTTATCCAAGACGAGATTCCTAGTTGTACTTTCGACCCCAAAGGCAGATAGAACTAATCATTTGCACTCAGAGAACCTCACACTTATCCGGATGTACTGGCTTTAAAGCTTTTTAAGTGGCCTGTAAAGAACAGCATGGTGTTCTCTCCCTCGAAAGCTCCCTAACAGATGGGATACCTCAGCTATCTTCCTAATATTTCAGCTCTCTGACACACATGCAGGTTTATTGCACCGAGCACTGGAACTTTGCAGCAATCCCATCACCTGCACGTTTTTTTTTCTTCAGGCTTCCGCACGGACACCTATCACTCATCGGCTTTACTATTTAAGTTAATAATGCTCCTTGTAGAAAATCAGAGAACTGCTTTCAGTAATTACACTTGCGATCAACGTTTATTTACATAGCAGATGCTTTCTGCCAAGTGAGGCACAAGAGAGGCAGATAGTACATTGTTTTAGTGTCTTCCAGCCTTGTCAGCTGAGGGGAGTTGCCCCAAGAACTATACTTTATTAAGAGTCCCATTAAAAAATTTAAGGTTTATCCAGCTCATCAGGACATTGTCATCAAAACAACATAAAATCAAAAGCTGAGTGAAGAACTGCCTACTTTTAGAATTATTTAATTATAGATTTACATATTCATGTTTAAATATTCAGCATTGTTTTTGGGTGGCCAGGTGGCATAGTGGGCAAGACTGCTGCCTCAGAACTACTTTTGCAAAGGAAATAAGCTGCGCAGCTATTGAGTTGCGATGGTAAAAGTTGACTACCCGGGGCAGGAGGCTGTTACCCGGGGCAGGAGGCTGTTACCCGGGGCAGGAGGCTGTTACCCGGGGCAGGAGGCTGTTACCCGGGGCAGGAGGCTGTTTCCCCTCGGTGTATTTTGCTGACCAGGGAGGGGAGGTCACAGTATGACTGTCGCGATCGACTAGCCATGTCTGAATGTTCGATCTGTCAGTTATAATCATCCGGTTGCCAATCGACAAAATGTGAACCACACACGTTATTTGTATGCGATGCAATGCTGTCATCTCTCACGTCACAATACTCCACTTTTACCTAAAATAGATAAAAACTGGAGCACAGGGGATTTGATTACGTGACGTTTGGGGACATCTCCAATTGGAACAAAATATTTTATCAGCCAAATGTAAAGCTCACTTGAACAGTGAAGTGAAACAACAGTCACGTTTACGTGCAGCACTGTTTCTGTACCAGGGTATCTGACTGCTGAGCAAAGCCCTGCTTCTTATAATGAAACATGCTGCTCCTCAGAGGAGGAAAACAGCTTAAGGGTGAACGCAAATAGGGTCACCCAAGGCTGTGGGGTGTGTTTAATATCCAGCAAAGCCTCACTTGTGCCTGCTGAAGCAGTCAGTTCTGGGCCTGATGGTGTTAATAAATACTAAGCGTTACCAAGACGTGCACAGGCAAGAAAACTAGCGAGGACATTTCTTATCTCTGTTGAGATATTTCAAACTTATGTTTAATTATATCTCTCAGTTGGCCTGGGAACACCTTGGCATCCCCCCCGAAGAGCTGGTAGAGGTGACTGGGGGGGGGGAGGTTTGGGTATCTCTGCTGAAGCTGCTACCCCCGCCACCCAAACCCCGGACAAGCCGAAGCTAATGGATGGATGGATGGTTTAATACAGATAGTCATGGAATTATATATATATAAAACGTAAAAAAAAGTAAAAGATATACTAATATTGTACTGTATAATTTGTAATATTCATAGAATATTATTATATGAAGGCTGATGAAATGTGTTAAATGCTGGTTAAATCCAAAATCCTGGTCTTACAGATTACAATCTACAAACTTCTCAGTCTGCGGTCTCAGTAAAATCATATATATTGTCCAATAAAAACCATACATGTCCACTTTTTGGTGTCACTTTTTACTATAGATGGAATACACCCAATAACCTCTGCTTACCAATAGCATTTGACATGTAATTGACCAATGAGAAAATGTTTTATGTCATCTACTTTATGCTTGTACTAGGTAACAATTGTATTCATTATGGTCATTTGCATGGATTACTTTTTATGACTTATTTTAGCAATGTAACATTAATGGCTTGACAGCTAGCTAACTAACATCATTGGTAATCGTGAATATAGTGAGACTAGTTTGTGTGTTGTTGATTGACATATTTGCCTTGTTGACAACAATCCACGTAAGTCCATTTAAAACATTAAACTGTTCACTCATAGCTTTATAAAGGTAAGTTTATATTTGGGTTCCTAAGGGTGTCTCATGTTGTGTTTGGGTTTGGTTTGTAAGGTAGTTTCTGTTTTTTCACACTCATGAAATAATAAAATCTTGGAGATACATGTTTCCTATTGGACAGCGATGACTTTGCATATTAGTATCCAGGTGACGGTGAGTCTGGAGCCTATTCCCACAAACAGGGGGACGCTCTGGATGGGATGACAGTCCATAGCAGGGCAAACACCCACTCACACACACACACACACACACACAGGTTTGTAATTAAATCTTTGTGGGGACTCTCCATTCATTTCTATGGGGAAAACGCTAATCCCAGCATGACAACCTTAACATTATAAATGTTTATCAAAAGGCATATATGTTTGATATGGTTGTGGCTGTGTGTCAGTCGGTCATGTCATGAGAAAAAAATAAAACTGGATCACACAGTGGTCTTGTTCTACTCACTGTGAAGCCAGGATGTGGGTGAGACCCAGCTCAGCTTTGACCGTACAAGATTTTATTCACATGAAGCTTCAGTCACTCCAGCTCAGACCAGTGCCACATGTGGGATGTGGATTGATGAAGTCAGCCTTTCACATTTCAGTATGCAATTAGACACAAGGACTGCATACTTAATCTGGTTCTGATTAAGTATAATTAAGTGCTTAGTGTTACAGGCAGGGGAGTAACTGTGGGAGGCTAAAAAAACACTTTTTTAAAATTCTGGCATTTATTTTGATTGCTTGAGGAGGAAAATTGGAAAATAAACCTACTTAACACTACAAGTAATTTTCTGCTGGATGCAATTATATATCCAGCAGCAGAGGCGAGGACTCGGGCTGTCAGTGACAGGTAGATGGCATACGTGGGTATAAACAATGGAATCTCCGACCATATTTAGACAGGATATTGTATTTATGCATGAAACCAAAGTTTATATTTTTGTATTTTGGTTAAACGTTTTGGGTTTGCAATTTGACAGGCTGTGAATGATTTCACAGATGTAATTTAATCTGCGTTTAAAATTAAATTTAACATTTAGTTGGTATTTTCATGAATGAAACAAAAAAAAACTGAAATCTATCAACAAGGAAACTTTGCAACTGTGATTTAATAATGCCAGTCCTGTGCTTAAATTTATTGAATGTGGACATAGTCTGTGGCCACAATATTATTAGGCTCATTTATAAATGACGCACTGTACATTATAGGGGGGTTCACCCTTGCGGAGTGACTAACAGGCTTTTGCGTAATTTCCCGCCAGAACACCATACGAAAAGCGAAAGTCGAATGCGAACAATGCTTTTATTTAACCTGCTAATGTCTTTACACATTAGGGTATATTTTGTAGAAGCAGCTATACTGTGTTTCCACAAAGTACCAGAATTTGCCCTGGAATTCACGGCTCCGGATATCAAGATATTAGTCCCGATATTAACATTTTACACAGCGGTTTTTAATCTACTCAGCGAACAGGAGGGTGAGAGGGAATGGGATGAGAAAAAAAGGATGGAAGATTGCGAGAGGGACCGACCGAGGGGAGGAGGGCCGTAATCGGATTATGAAGCCGTAGTTTGCAGATGCCTTATTCCCTCCGCGGTAGGTGTTGCAGATGACTTTACAGTCCATGTCTAAATATTACAATGATACGATTTCAGTGGATATATATCCGTTTGTTAAATTTGGAAATGACCTTGAAAGAAACTTAGTTTTTCTTTTCGTTACCTTGTGGAATTTTGAGTACGTTTACTACGTTTACATTACTTTTTATAAACGAATGCCAATTTTGATAAAAATCTACTTTGCGTTTTGAAGTGAAAAATGAATGTGAACAAACACGAACCTCCGTGGATCGGACTGCTTTTAAGAACTGTTTAAAAGTCTTCACTCACTCTGGATGTTTAATGCTGAGTGAAGTTTCTGCGCGATTCTAATTTCTTAATACTTGGATGTACTTGGACTGGGTGTCACCGTGCTTTGGATGAAAGTTTTTGCTCCGGGTGGAATTGCATTTACGGGGTTACATGATGCTGATAACGGACGACAGGGACAGAGGAAGATCCTCATCTATCAAATTAAAGCACATTTCGCAAATCAAATATGGAGATGTGCTGGTTCATCCCGCACCAGCTGGGCGGTCAGCATCGCTAACCGAGGAAGACGATCATCCGTCTTATTCTGAATCAGAAGGAGAGGACTACGAAGAGTACGATGATTTTTCAGAGATACCCGACACTAGGAGCATCGCTTCGGATGACTCTTTCTACCCGGTAGAGGATGAGCTGGCAGAAGCCAGCGCCTGGCCGCCTGCGGAGTGTCCTGCGGCGCTTTCTTTTTTCCAGGCGTGTAGCACCAACAATGCAGTCGGGATTAAGATAATGATAAGACAAGGTGTGGCTGAAGAAGAAGTTACGGAAACAGATAAAAACAACAGGGTAAGTTTAATGTTCGCCCACATGCAGCCTACGAACCGGTAACTTTCTAAGAAAAAGTATCAACGCTTCCACTTACACGCATGCGCAATAGCATCCGTACATCCGAGGCAGATTAATGAACTATTTTTGAACATCAACTTACTCGGGCTAAATCGCATTACTCATATGTAACCAAAACCTGTCCACTCGTCTCATACATAACTGAAGGCTTCCACTCGTATTAGTTTTAACGTGCAGCAGCTATAGATTATTAAATACGCAGCGTCCTTTTTTCTGTATGAAACAGTTTTGTGATGACTTTCTAAACATAAATTAAAAATAACCTTAGTAACGTTAACTGTATTAGTGAAACAAACAGTTTGACAAGCCTTCACAAATAATTTAATGAATTAAGAAGTGTATTTTTTATCAAAGCAATGCATTTCACAAGCACTTTTTTCCAAAAATTACGGTGACGATCCGCCCTCGGTATGTGCCATGTCTTGCACTATTACATTATCCATCATTTACCTAACACGGCTGTCATAGCCCATGTGGCACCGGGGGGATAAGGGGAATAACTGTGATCCTTAAACCCCCTCTGACCCGGTTCGTCCAGAGGTTTCCTCACTGATGTTTTACGTTACAATTGACTATGATAACATTAGCTGCAATGTCAGTGTGGAGTGACAGCACTTAAGTTTTTCCGTCATTCTCTTCCCTTCTTTTTTTTACACTAGCAACAAATAACAGAAATCGCAATTGTAGGGCATTTATGAGCAAACCTATAATGAAGACAGCATTTATATTCAGAGGTTCATTATCACTTTTACTTACAGGTGAACTTAATATAATTTCTGCATATTTAAACAGTTTTTCTTTGATTATTTGTTTGACTTTCATTGCTCTGGAAAACGTTAAAATTATTTGTGAAGGCTCTGGAAAAAGTAGCTCCAGAACTAAAATATCACCGTGTCCGCATTTTAGCTACGCGCTGTAGTGATAGATATAAACTGGAACATTTGCGCGTTTAATTATCTCTCGTGGGCTAATTGGGTAAGTGAAGGCGCTGAGCTGGCTGGCCCTGCCTTGTTTTGCATAGATCTGTGCCGCCTCAGTGCTTTATAAACAGCGCCCTATGGAAATAGCAGGCACGTGCTCGAAAAATGCACACTGTAACTCCTAATGAAATCAGGATGGTGCTGACTGTTGCGAAAGCAGCACTAGCACTCTGTCCTGCAGACTGTGTCCAGTTTAAGCAGGATTTTTCAGGCCTAATAGTTGAAATATGAATGTTTTTCTTATATGCCCCCTGAACATATCATTCAGTGTAATTCATACAGTTTGGTTTGTAGTGGAGCAATCACCTACCGGGGCGTTCCCTTACTTGTAAAAGGGACAATGTTCCTTTATAATAAGCAGTTCGGATTTAGTAAAGTTTACGCCGATGCTCATTAATTTAAATTACATGCTGCATTTCTTCGATTTCCCACCCACACAAGTAAGCAAAACAAAATAAAAAAACTGCAAAGTCAAACAATATTAGTCAGGGCACTTAGGAATACATTATTCAGAAGAGTAAGCAAAATGTTACTGAATTCAATTCTGATAACTATGCAAATAATGTATCCGTGGAAACAGACTGTAAAGAATTAGCTTAATTTATTAATTAATTGTAATGGTGGACACAAATTAGAATTGTTATGAATAATATGATGGCTCTTATTGTTCTTAGTAATCATTGCTCTTGCAGGCTTGTTTCTTTTTTGTTGGAGAAATGGAAACATAACACATAGCCATTTCCTGAGGGTATACTGAGTTTCAGTTCAGACTGATTACATGATAACACTCAGGGGGGGCTTGAAGGTAGGAAATTAAGCAGTCTTTGTGGTTCCAATTTGGGGAAATACAGCATGGGAATTTCCCCTTTGCGGTAACTTGGCAGTTAAAGTTTAAATAGTATTTTATTTGATGTTGTCTGTTATTCAATAGTGCCTGAATGTGAAATGCTTAGCCATGCACGCTGCTATGACTTTATATCATCAGTAAACGTGCGGATGCGACAAACACCATCATTCACTTCCCCATTATCCCCGTTCGGCCAGTGTCATTTGATCACCAGCCTCACGGCTGTAGGGTCGTGCAGTTTAATGTGCTCTTCTCTCTGCTGAGTTTACCCACCCTCTTATTTTTCTCCTGTGAACTCTGGGGTTTTCCCACAGTCCAGAGCAGGGATGGAATGGCCATTTGGCATACTGGGCACTTTCCCGGTGGGCCGGTGGGTATGCAAACTCCACAAACTGAGAACATGCAAATTCCACACACAGAGAACATACAAATTGTGCACACACAGAACATGCATGCTCCGCATACAGAGAGCATGCAAACCCCCACACACAGAACATGCAAACCCTGCACAGAGAACATACAAATTCCGCACACACACGGAACCTACAAATTCCGCACACACACGGAACCTACAAATTCCGCACACACACACGGAACCTACAAATTCCGCATACACAGAACATGCAAACTCTGCAAACAGAGAGCACGCAACCCCCCCACACACACAGAGCATGCAAATTCCACACACAGAGAACATACAACTCCTCACACAGAGAACATGCAAACTCTCTACACTGAGATCATGTGAACCCGCACACACAGAATATGCAAACTATACATACTCAGAGTATAGGTGGTACTGGAAGTATGAGATTCTATACTAGAGGATTGCTTGCTGCTATCTTGATTAAGAAGTACGGAAAAGCCTGAAGTGTAGTGCAGTAGGATGTTGTCAGTCAGAGGGCAGTATGTAATTAATAATTTATCTCATTAGGGGGGTGAACCTTCAGCCTTTTCAAACAGATTAATTGAATGTTTAAGTGGTGATACGCTGAGGGATATACAGTACAGTGTAATGGATATTCTTTCCCCGATTTCCAGTTTTCAGCTGCCTTTAAAACCTGTATTCCAAGTCACAGTCTTTGGCCCAATTCCCGCCAAACATAAATTATGGATTAGGAATCTGGGGAGTGATATAATAGATGCTTTAGGTATATACACTTACTACCAAGCATATATGATGAGTAATTCACAGTGGATAACAGAATGCACTAAATAGTTTATAAGCTAGGTGAGTATGAAATGGTGTATATGAACTATTCTTAAGGAGATCCATCTTCCAGATGCAAGCATTGCACCTTCATATTCTTACTGTGATCCACAGGTAAGCGAATAATTATGGAGATTATGTCAGTGAAATTAATTTTTGTACTGGAACCAGGAATATCACTTTGTCTGGATGTAGCTCTCTATGCTGTAGTATTAAATACTTTATCTGTGTAAAGACTATGAGCTGGTTACTCAGTAGGCAGAGGCCAGACTAGAAACCACTACTGGGGTATTAAATCTTTTGGCTAATCTGATAGCTCCTTCACTGATAGCTCCTGGAGGAGGTACAATCTCTACCAGGGGAAATGGGGGCTTGTATTTCCCAAAGACCTGCTCACCATTCGAGACCTATTCTTCCTGATCCTCACAGAGATGAGTGCAGTAGAGAAGGAATGGCAAGGTGATTGTGTTTACACTGTAAAAGCAGTGTTTGTGTGGCTGTGTGGGTAAGGAATTTGGGCCCATGTCCGGAAGCTCATTGATTCCAATCCCTTGAATAAGGCCCTTAACACCAACTGCTCCAGGGACGCTGGATAAATACCTGGCTCTGTACTCTGACCCTTTGTTCTCACCTCTATCTACAAGTCTCATAGGAGAGCATGATGGGATACATGAAGATTGGATTTTGCACATGCACCATGTGACAATATATTGATGGGCCATCCTTCAGAACTGCGCAACCTGTTTTTCTGTGTTCCTCCTTCAGAATGCTTACCCAGCCGCTTAATTTGCATAGAGGGAAAAGCCAGCTGGAATTAGGTTACTTTAAAGAAGAAATCCAATTTATAAAGGCATATCCTACATGGTAGGAAGGTAGATTGTAATTTCGCTAAATCTGCATGCACAAAGGATGAATAATTCATGGTCTATAATGGCAGCTGTTTTTTTCCACTGTTCATGCCCACATGTACTGTAGGTTTAAATGTAAAACTAGATGGTTTAGAAAAATTCTCACCAGATGTTGAGGAAATATTTTCAGAATCTTTCTCCTTAATGGCTTTTAGTATTGCTTTTGCCTCAAACTTCATAGTAGGGCGTTTACTTATTTTAGAATGAGATGTACAAGAAAGTTACTTTGTAATGTTTTTTTAATAAATCTAATGTAGATGTATTCATCTTGCAGGGCTCGAAACCTTTTCTGCATTGGTTGATCTGTTTCTTAAAGCAACAAAAAATATGTTGAGGTAAATTGGTCATTCAGAGATTTGCTTAGCTATCATGTGATTCATATTGATTCATATTGCTACACTGTAAAAAAAAGTTTTTTTTAATGATTTTTACGATCCCTTTCCTTTGAACACTGAAAATTTCATGGTTCTGATTAGAGGACATATGTCTTTCTGCTGGTTTTGGAATGTTGCAGTATCTGACAGATCTGGGGAAATGTTTGTATGATGATTTGAATTTGAAATATGCTTTGCTCTAAGGTGACATATAGGTCAGTGTGAATAGGTCCAGCGACAGATAACAAGTAGAAACTCAAACACTTTACTGGTAAATGCAGTATGGTTTGGCTGTGTTGCTTATCTGTGTGTGATACTAAGATATTAACCTCTTACACAGAGGTTAAAAATACTATATCAACCATAGTGTCCTGACACAGACGTGAGGTGCTATTTATGGATGTGCTGTGTTGGTCTTTGTGCTCAGAGAATAAAACTATATGCACGGGTCATAATCTTGTAATAAAGCCAGTGGTGTTTTTGGCTGACTCCCATTCATAGTGTAGTGGTCAGTTCTGCCCGGAAACAGCCTTTTAATAGTCCTGTTGAAGAGCAGTCTGTAGTGGTGAGTTTGTAGGGTTTTCTTGAAGATTGTGGAGTTCTGGTCAGTATAGCAAACAA